GGACACAGCGTAGCTGACTGGATAAGAAAGCATGACTCACATATATGTTGTTTACAAGAAACCCACCTCACAACAAAAGACTCACATAGGTTGAAAGTGAAGGAATGAAAAAAAAATATTTCAAGCAAACGAAAAGAAAGAAAAAAAAAAGCTGGGGTAGCAATACTCATATCTGATAAAGTAGATTTCAAAATGAAGGCCATAACTAGAGACAAAGAAGACCACTACATAATATTGAAAGGATCTATCCAACAGGAAGATATAATCTTGGTAAACATATATGTACCCAATATAGGAGCACCAACATATCTTTTGGAGGACTTCAAGGAGAAATCAACAGCACTACAATCATAGCAGGGGACTTCAATACTCCACTGACATGATGGGATAGATCTTCTATTAAAAAAAAAATTAACAAGGAAACACAGACCCTAAATGAAGCACTAGATCAAATGGCTTTAGATATTTACCAATAATTACACCCCAAAACTGCAGATTTTATATTCTTCTGAAGTGCACATGGGACATTCTCAAAGATAGACCACATGTTAGGGCACAAACTAAGTCTCTATGAGTTTAAGAAGATTGAAATCATATCAAGCATCTTCTCAGATCACAATGGCATGAAACTAAAAATCAATTGCAACAAGAACATGCAAAGACATTTGAACACATGGAAACTAAATAACATGTCATTAAACAATGAAAGGGGTACCATGGAGATCAAGATAGAAATTTAAAACATCCTGGAAACCAATAAAAATGAACACACAATAACACAAAATCTATAGGATGCAGCGAAAACAGTTCTGAAAGGGAAGTTCATAGCACAACAGGCCTACCTCAAGAAGTAAGAAAAATTTCTAGTAGACTATCTAACCTCACAACTTAAAGAACTAAAAACAAGCAAAAAGAAAACCCAAGAGCAAGTAGAAGGAAGGAAATAGTAGAGATCAGAGCAGAAATAAATTACATGGAGACCAAAAAAAAAAAAAAAAATTCAAAGGATCAATGAAACAAAGAGCTGGTTCTTTGAAAAGATAAACAAGATTGATGGACCCTTAGCTAGACTCACCAAGAAACAAGGAGAGAGAACCCAAATACACAAAATCAGAAGTGAAAGAGGAGAAATAATAACTGACACCACAGAAATACAAAGTATCATTAACAAATATTATGAACAATTATATGGCCACAAATTTGACAATCTAAGTGAAATGGACGAATTTTTAGAAACACATAGTCTCCCAAAACTGAACCCGAAAGAGATAGAAAACTAAAACAAATAACAACAAAAGAAATTGAAGATGTAATCAAGACTCTCCCAGCAAACAAAAGCCCAGGCCCGGATGGGCTTCATGGGGAATTTTACCGAACATTCAAAGAACTAACACCCATTCTCCTCAAACTATTTCAAAAAATTCAAGAAGGAAGACTTCCAAACTCGTTTTATGAGGCCAGCATAATTCTAATTCCAAAACCAGAAAAAGACACTAGAAACGAAGAAAACGACAGACCAATTCCCTGATGAACATAGATGCCAAAATCCTGAACAAAATATTAGCAAATCGGATCCAGAAATACATCAAAAAAATTATTCACCATGACCAAGTGGGATTCATCCCATAGATGCAAGCCTGGTACAATATTTGCAAATGAATAAATGTGATACACCACATAAACAAAATAAAAGATAAAAATCATATGATCATATCAATAGACACCGAAAAAGCATTAGACAAAATCCAGCATCCATTTCTGATAAAAATGCTCAGCAGTGTGGGAATAGAGAGATCATATCTAGACATAATAAAGGCCATATATGAAAGACCTACAGCCAACATCATACTCAATGGGCAAAAACTAAAAGCATTTCCCTTAAGAACAAGAACAAGGCAAGGATGCCCACTTTTGCCACTCTTATTTAACATAGTACTGGAAGTCTTAGCCACAGCAATCAGACAGGAAGAAAAAATAAAAGGGATCCAAATTGGAAAGGAGGAAGTGAACCTGTCATTATTTGCAGATGACATGATACTATACATAGAAAACCCCAAAGACTCCATCAAAAATTTACTAGATTTAAAAATGAATTTATTCAGTAGCAGGATACAAAATTAACGTCAAGAAATCGATGGCATTGTTATACACCAAGGATGAACTCACAGAAAGAGAAACTAAGAAAACAATCCCATTTACCATTGCAGCAAAAAGATTAAGATACCTAGGAATAAACTTAACCAAAGAAATAAAGGACCTATTCACAGAAAACTACAGGTTATTTAAAAAAGAAATAGAGGAAGATATAAAAAAGTGGAAGCACATACCCTGTTCATGGATTGGGAGAATTAACATCATTAAAATGTCCATGTTACCCAAAGCAATCTATAGATTCAATGCAAACCCATCAAAATACCAACGGCATACTTCACAAAATTAGAACAAGTACTTCAAAAGTTCATATGGAACCAACAAAGACCTCGAATAGCCACAGCAATCTTGAAAAGGAAGAACAAAGTTGAGGGATCACAGTACCAGATTTCAGGTTATACTACAAAACCACCGTAATCAAAATAGCCTGGTACTGGCACAAGAACAGACATATAGACCAGTGGAACAGAACAGAGAACCCAGAAATGGGCCCAAGGCAATATGCTCAATTAATATTTGACAAAGGTGGCAAGAGCATACAGTGGAGTAAGGACAGCCTCTTTAATAAATGGTGCTGGGAAAATTGGACAGCTACATGCATAAAAATGAAACTAGACCATCAACTTACACCATACACAAGAATAAACTCAAAATGGATAAAAGACTTAAATGTGACTCATGAATCTATAAGAATCTTAGAAGAAACTGTAGCCAACAAAATTTCAGACATCATACGCAGCAGAATTTTCACTGATACATCACCTAAGACAACAGAAACAAAGGAGAAAATGAACACATGGGACTACATCAAACTAAAAAGCTTCTGCACAGCAAAAGATACAATCATCAAAATGGAAAGGCAACCCACTCAATGGGAGAGCATAATTGCCAATGATACATCAGATAAGGGGTTAATTTCCAATATATATAGAGTGCTCATACAACTCCACAAAAGGAAGACAAAGAATGCAGTTAAAAATTGGACAGAGGAACTAAAGAGACACCTCTCCAAATAGGATATACAAAAGGCTAGGAGACATATGAAGAAATGCTCAACATCATTAATCATCAGAGAGATGCAAATTAAAACAACAATGAGGCATCATCTCACACCTGTCAGAATGGCCACCATCAACAAATCATCAAACAACAAGTGTTGGCGAGGGTGTGGAGAAAAAGGGACTCTAGTACACTGCTGGTGGGAATGCAGACTGGTGTAGCCACTATGGAAAACAATATGCTGTTACCTCAGAAAATTAAAAATTGAACTTCCATTTGACCCAGTGATCCCACTTCTAGGAATATACCCTAAGAAGCCTAAAACACCAATCAGAAAGAATATATGTACCCCCATGTTCGTAGCAGCACTATTTACAATAGCTAAGATCTAGAAACAGCCCAAGTGTCCAACAGTAGACGAATGGATGAAAAAGCAGTGGCACATATACACAATGGAGTACTATGCAGCTGTAAGAGATAAAAATATCTTATTCTTTGAGATGACATGTAAGGATCTGGAAAGTATTACCCTAAGCGAAACAAGCCAAACAGAGAAAGACAAGTATCATATGATCTCACTTATTTGTGGAATATAATAAACATAAAAGTCTGAGGAATGGGGAAGTACCAGAGACGTGGAAGAGGGGTACAGACTGACAATCCCCAGAAGAGGGAGTGGTGGGGGAGAGATAAATCACAGAACTTATATGCATGTGTGCATGAACAATGGACATGGACTACAAAGCTGGGAACAGGGCGGGGAGGGTTGGGGAGGGGGGAATCAGTGGGGAAAAAGAAGAAACATCTGTAACAAAAATAATTTAATTAATTTTTAAAGATCACACAAATAAAAGATAAATAAATAAAATCTCATTATTTTTATATTGATATTGCATTGATAACATTATAGATATGTTGGCTGAGATAGAAATGTTTTAAATAAAATTTCACCTGTTTCTTTTGACTATTTTTAAAATGTGGCATCTAGAAAATTTTATATCACACATATAGCTTTCCTGTTTCTACCTACCAGATACTACTGACTTGGGAGAGCAGGGCTGTGGTTAGGAGAACGGAAATAGCACCCTGGCGCAATCCCTCCAGACTCTGTGACTCTGGTCAAATACCTTACCCTCTCTGACTCTCAGTTTTGGCCTGTGGGTTTGGGGGAAGATGAAAAATCACTCTGCTGGGCAGTTTTAGCATTGTGCCTTGGACGCTGTTCAGTAAGAGTCTTAGAATAAATACTTGATAAGTAACTGCCGTTATAACTCATAATTCTCGGGCTGATTCCTGTTAAAACGAAACATCTCAGAAAAACACACCCCTCCCCCCCCCCCCCCAACACGCACACACAAACTTAGGACATATTAAGTAAACTTTATCTCAGAGCCAGTTTGTAAGATTCTCAGACAAGTTGGGAAAGGCCGCCCCCTAGTGGACAGCGGACGAAGGTGCCGTCGCAGATGCTCTAGCGCTAGCAGCCCTGGGCCTGGGCGGGAGGGTCAGTGGGTCCCAGTTCACTGGCCCTGTTTGTGGCTTTAAGGGACACACAGGGTGTTCGCCACCGCTCCTTCGGAGGTTTTGGATCCCGGAGAGGGGCACCAAGGAAGATGTAGATCAGGCTGTACCTAGGACTGGGTGGGGCGGCTAGGTACTTTCAGAACAACATAATTTGGAATACCTCCTCCTATCCTGCAGTGTCCTAGAATCAGGGAAGAAATGGGTGTGCGTTGTTCCTGCATTCAAATAGAACCCGTCCCAGATACCCAAAGAACCCTCAAGTCACCGAACCCCTATGGCCATCCCCTCTCCTGAAACTGATCGTCTCTGGAAACTCTCTTGAACAGATGCCCCTCCTGACCTGCCAGTTCCTCAGGAGTTACCGGGAACAGCGCCTGGCCCACCTGGTCCTGAGCCTCATCACCATGGGCTATGTCTGGCAGGAAGGGGAGACACAGCCGCAAGAGGTGAGAGACAAATAGATGCCTGTCTTCTCACCCGGCAGGTCGGCTGCACCTAGAACATGCTGTCTGCTTGGAACCACAGTGCTTTTCTGGAAAATGGTTCTTTTCTTATTTTCTTTGGGTGTCAGTGAAAGTGCAGAAGGCCCATTTAAATGAAAAACTTGTTCCTCCTGACTAGGAAGTTAATTTTCTTTAGAACTGGTAGCCCGTGTATTACTTTTTGAATCTATTTTTTCTGACACCCTCTTCCAAGAATGTTTGAATGTTTGCACTTGAAAGCAAGGTTGAGATCTTATGAAAAGCGTCCCTATAGCTCACATTTCACAGCATTTCATACTACTGAGACAAAAACGGTCTCAGCCAGTTTTCACAGTCCCATAAGGGAGGTAGAGCTAAGCTGTGCCCATTTTACAGACAGCAGAAGACTACAGAAGTCCAAGTCAGATGGCAAGCTTGTGGAAAATTCAAGGCCAGACCTCGAACTTTCTAATTTCACCAAATGTGAACTCCTTCCTCCAGAGCCACACATGGACATTTACGACACAACTGCTTGCTCTCCACCAATTATTGGTTTGTTGCTTAAACAGTTCATTTAAATCTCTTCTGAATCTTTGCATCACATTTTACCGTTTCAGCCCGAACCTTGAGACGAAACCTGAGTCTCACTAGTTGTAGTATAAAAGACCACTGCCTTTGGTTTCATATAAATGCATCTTTTCCAGAAATCAGGGTGCTGAACTTTTGCTGCATGTGCTTAAAAATGCAGAGTAAAGTTGAACTTCAGGGTGTAGATGTAGATTCTCTGGTCCAGGGGAACAGAGCTCCCAAGATGCAGCATAGACCTTATAGAGCCAAAGATCAAAGGTCAAAGATGAACCGACACGCGAGCTCTCCCTGCCACGTGGACAGGATTCTACTGGAACAGTACAGGTTGCTTCTAAACCAGATGAGGAGGCTTCAGAGAAGAAAAATATGTCCCAGAAGAAACAAAAGCTAATGGCCTGGGAGCTCAAGTTAACATAAAATAAATGTTAATAAAAGTAAAAAAAAAAAAAAAGTCAGTATAGATAACTTCAAAAAAGTGTTGTGTCTGATGTTGGAAAGTCTGATATTTAGAGCCACAACAGAACATTCCAATTGGGTTTCCCTCCCCCACCTGTTCTCCAAACCAGAATACGACATCAGGGAACAGGTAGACAAGGGTGACAGGAGGTGGCGTCTCCAGCTGTGAGGTGAGGTGTGTCCATGTACTTCCAGGCCCCTGAGCCCCCTACCTTCTGGCCTTTGTATCTTCTCTGATATGTCCGCTAAGTAGACCCTTACCCTGCTCCCAAGGTGCAGCCCGGTCATCCTCATCCCCATGCCTCCTGAGGGAAGCTAGCGTACGTTTGCATTTTAAAACTGTTTAAAGCTCTTTATTATTTCTGCCTAAGAAAGAGTTCCGTCCAAAGTCTATTTAAACATATTTTCAGAAAAAGCAAGGGCAGAAACAAGGCTTCTAAATAGATATTTTTATCTTGAGAATAAATAAAAATGGAAGTGAGAGAAAGGGACCCTAAGGATGTTCTCTTGGATCTAGACTAGCCTTATCCGCAGGTAGAGACCCCTCCATGGATCCAAGTTGCTTTCCTGGATTTGGGAGCTGATAGGCTCTTGAGAGTGTTTCTCAGGTAACTCAGGGTTGAATGGGGGCTGTCTTGAGGTGACTTGCCTGAAGTTGTTATTCTGTTAGACTTATGAAGTGACTGACAGAATCAGCATCAGTGGCCACACAGGATGAGGTGTTCTATCCTCCCCATTCCTTTCCCTCACTGACGCATAAACACACACACAAACATGTGTATATGTATATACACACACATACATATATATGCTTTTAGTTTTATACACACAAACACACATATATCTGCATATCTATGCATGTAGATAGTTGATAGACAGATAAATAGACACAGATAGACAGATAGATAGATTTAGATAGATTTTTTCTTACTGCTCATCACTTCAACCCCCAGTTTATGCTGAAACAGTTGGTAATGCCTTCTTTGCATAGTTAATATTCAGGTATTATTTTATGCTGTGTGTATATGTGTGTGTTCCAATCTTATAATTTTGCATATACATTTTAGATTGCACGCACTCATAAACTAAGTTGTTAACAGAAAAAACGTGAGAGTGAAGTGTGTGTATGTGGATCACTCACATAATCCCAGTTTATCCCCAAGGCATCTCTCTACCCCAGGATTGCTGGAGTAAAAGACATCCATGATTACTTTCTTTGCTGCATTCTTTCTAGAATATGCTAACGGTCAGGATTTATGTCGAAAGGTGCTGCCAAGAAACCTTGCCCTTCCCCTTGTGGAAGTCTCCAGTACCCTGGGGCTCCCTCCTATCTTGGTGCACTCAGACTTGGTGCTGACGAACTGGACCATGAGGAATCCTGAGAGGTAAGAAAAGGAGAGAGAGCTTTGGATTTCAATGGAAACTGAGTGGGGGGCAGTCTTGTGCGCTGTACTCTCCCTGCCAGAAAGGTGCAGGCTGTTCCAGCTATTTTACGATTAAAGATGTCCATATTTATTTTCTGCTATATGGTTGCAAAGAAGAGATACACTTGAAAGAAGTTTAAAAATCGCAGGTCCCAGAAGTTTCCTCTCAACCCACATTGAATACACTGGGGCAGACTATTTTTATTTGCTTGCCTCCATATCAAATTGAATTTCTCAACCTGACCTTAAAGCTCCTGCCTATTCAGGCTTCAATCATTCCCTGACATGTCCTCCATTCAGGTCAATTTAGCACCAGGAACGTCAGTAAATGGTCATCACACAGAGATCATAAATGAAGGATTATGTCTGAATCGAGAGTAAGTGCTTTGGGCATGTTGGATTGAAATTTGATTAATAATCCTATCTATTCTTCCAAGCTGGCATCATTCCGTTGACAGTTGGCTTGGGGGTGTTGGTATTTGTCTAAAGAAAAAAATGACATCGATTTTTAAAAACAAGAAATCCCAATAAATACAATGGGATGGAAGGGGTGAAGTATTAAGTTTCCCTTTGAAATAAGTTTTACAGCCAAATTTATTTCAGGCTGCAGATGGAAGAGACAGTACTTTTATGACTTACTTAAATAGCTAAGGGGACGTCTAAGTCAGATGTGAGGGAGAACTTCCTTAGTATAAGGGTGTGGGTAAACACAGTATTGCCAGAGATAATGGTGATCTTTTTTTAAAGAAAGGCTTATAAGCCCAGGCCCGATAGGTTGTGGGTTTGATTCCTGGTTAGGGCACATATGAGAATCCACCAACTAATGCATAAATAAGTGGAACAACAAATCAACGTTTCTGTCTCCCTCTCTCTCACTCTCTCCCTTTCTTTCCCTCTAAAATCAACTTTTTAAATTATTTTTTAAAAAATAAGGAATTAAATGCTTAATAAACAATGTAGCAAAAAACTAATTTATGCGCCCCTTGGAGTGAGATTGGACCATCTCATCCATCTAAGGACTTCTGAGCCCTGGGATTTTGTTTTTTATAATTCTGAATTATGATCTTTGACAAATTCTGCCTTAATAACAAAATTGGTGACCAGTTTTCCCATGGAAAGGTGCAGAATCTGGCTCAGAATTTGAACAGAAATAAAAAATAAATAGATGTGAAGAAATGACTCTGTTCAAGACTTTGAATATTTAATGCACCAAATCTCTGATTCAAAGAGGAATGGGGAAGGTTGAAGGGAAAAATGGCTGGACCAGGATGTTAAAGTCAAAAGTACATCAACAAAATCTAGTTTTTCAATAGTTGAGAATGCAGGGCTAGTTTAATCCCAAAGATGCAGACACAATTTCAGGGTTCTTTGGTAATTATTTTTTAGAATCTTTTAACTTGCCTAACACAGTGCTAAGTGCGATGAAGAAATGAAAGCAAAGTTCACCCAGCACGATTAAATAACAAAACAAAGCAGTGCCTGACAAATGCCATTGTGACACAAACAGTAAACCCTTCAGAATTTCAAAGAAATCGCCTCAATGGCGCCTTTAACAATCGGGGAAAGGCTTGATGAGCCGGTGGAGCTTGATCTAAAGTAGGTGTTAAAAGGTATGTTGGAGTAGCATCCCTGCAATGAAAATAGGAGTTTGTAGTAATTGCAAAAATATAAAAGGAGCTGGTATACAAGTTGAGAATCGACTCATTCTTTGTCACACACTGGCCTGTAGTGTAGTCACAGCCTGTGAATACATGGATGTGTGAGTGTGTGTGCCTGTATGCATGTGACCCTAGAAGGCATATCTGTTTGCAAACTGATTTGTGTTTTTTTTTCTTTCCTTGTTTGTGGTTGTCAATAACTGAAATTTTACCAGACCCCTGAACATCAGGTAAGTCCTCAGAAATCCTTCACTTACTTGAGAATCCGTGCTAACTTTAAAAGATTACAACAAAACAAGGAAGAAACATACCAAATTGTGCATACAGCCTGTGAGCTGTATATAAGAGCATGCAAAAAAACAAGGCTGGAAGAAAAGGCGCCCAAAATTAGCAGCCTGAATTTAACTGTTGTTGCCTCTGCTTTGTAAGGATTAGGGGATTGACTTTCTTTACTATATTTTCCAGTCTGTACATAATAAAACAAGTAACGTGCAATGCAAAAAAAAATACAACTTCACCAATTCTTCAGTGATCTGGAAAGATCTCCTATGTCACCATAACTTCCTTAGAAATACTCTGTCACATGGACTGGCAGGTCTGGCCGAGATCCTTAAGCTCCTCTTTCCCGGAGAGCAAAATTGGCCTCTAAATTGATATTGCTTCTCCCATGACCAAAGCTCAGCTCAATGAAAGGGTTCAGTATAAACGCTGATGCTCAGAACACTGAGGGATGGATGGATGGAGTCACTTTCCTTACACGAATGTAACTGCTGGTGTTCTTGACTTAGTTTTCTTTTGTGTTTGTTTTCCCTTTCTTCTCATGCTTAAATGTTAGAAGCAGGAGTGATTTGTGGAGTAAAGTTTTTAAGTTTTATAGACTGGCTGTCTACCTGGGATGTTTGAATCCATATGGTCACAGGTCATTTAAAGGTGATTCCTCTGTACTCTATTACACAAAACAAAATAACAAGTGTTGATTATAAAGAGCACTAGCCTGAGCTATGAAACTATTCCCCACCTGGTTCTGTGACTAATCAGCTATACACCCTTGGGCAAGTTACTGTGTTTCTTTGGGCCGTATCTATAAAAGGAGGGGAGCAAGGAATTCGTTGCTGCCTGTGGCCACTGTAGCTCTCAGACTCTGTGCTCCTGATGGGAATGGTGTCATGGGCTGTAGACTAGTCCTGGGGAGAGTCAGAATCACCTGCCCACTCATGCCTCAGCTGTTCCGCTGAAGGGATGGTCTGGGACCAGCAGGGCCATGCTGGCCTTCGAGAGGCCTCCCATCCCGTGAACTTGGGCTTGAAAAGATGTGTTCTCTTTCCTTCCTGAATGCTCACTGATTCTACCCTGCACTACAGTTGTCTAACTGTGAGGGGACCTGTGGGCCATGCATCCTCCCAGTGTCCAAGCCTCTCTAACCATGTGGTCATCTCCTTCCCAAGGAATCTGGACATCCTGTTCTCATTTCCTGGGGGAGAAAGCCTGCGCGGTTTCATTCTAGTGACTGTTTTGGTGGAGAAAGCAGCAGTACCTGGGATTAAGGTATCTTTCCACCCACAGCACTTATTTTCCTAAATGAGAAATCGCTGTGAGCCTGACTTCCCATCCAGTCTCTTTCCCTTCAGGGCATGAATCAACATAGATGAGCATAGGCCTCATCCTGTTGGTTTACGCCTGAGGGAAGAGGTCTGAATTCTAGCCCACGAGATACTCCCTTCTCCCATCTCCTATAAAACCTGGAATTGACCATTTGCCCCTTCAACAAACAAGCATTGTTCTAGACAATGAAATATCTAGAACAAGACAGACATGGTTCTGGCTCCCTCAGAAGCCCTTGATGGAGTGGAGAAAGATGGGTTGATGTATAGGGTAATAAGGAAAAAAATGCAGTTTTATGGGGAAAAAAAACACATCTAAAATCTTATTCAGAACTGAAGGGTCAGGCAAAGCTTCCCAGGGAAAACGACTGTTAAAGTTAAAACCTGAGTGATATAAAGGAATTAAGCAAAGAGAGAAAAAGAGAGTGACAGGCAGAAAGACAAACAGACGCAAGGACATGCTTCTGGCAGAGAGAACTGCTGTGCAAAGCCTCGGGAAAAGGACCCATCTCTGAGAGTACCTCGCCCTGGGGGTTGCAAACTCAGTCCCTCAGGGGTCAGGCAGCTCACAGAAAGGTCAGGTTCAGTCCGACAAAAGACTGGGGCCGCAGCAGGTGACCCGCTGAGCAGCCATGCCTTGCCTACACATAATTAATTAGGTGTATGTCTTTCCTCTCCACCTTCCCTGGTAAGCATATTTTGAGTTCTTACAGTGTCCTCAGTGGGGTCACCAGTCATGGCATAAGTATTATATCACTCTCAAAAGTGAAAATATATGGTCACTTTACTTCTCATCAGTGTGTTTAGTTCATCAAAAGATACACAATGAAATAGTGGTCTTTGAATATAGCTCAGGTAAGGTGGAGACTGTGAGGAACACCTCCTGACAGAGGGGCCGAGCAGCTGAGGGCTCCATGGAGTCTGTCTGAGTTCATGAACAACAGAGCTCAGGGGCCAGGGTGCCCTAACACAAGATGCAGCCGTAGACATGATTATAATGTGTCATAAATACAGAAGAGGGAAGGAAAAAAATGATAGAGTTATGCCCCTGAGAATTATAACAAGAAGTGGTCAGTGGAGAGATCTAAAAAAACATGTCCAAGAGTCTATTCAGGAGATTCCCAGAGAGATTATCCTTTCAGGGAGACCTCACAGCATATTGAGTTTAGGGGAGCCCTGTAAAACAGTCCAGTAGTCAGAGGGCTGCCCTTCCGCATTCCCACAGCTCTGATGTTCAGCTCACTCCACTTCAGTGGACCATAAGTGAATGCTGATGGATTAACTGAACGAATCTTCTCCCCAGGCAGTTGTTCAAGCAGTGAATGCCATCCTGCAGACCAGCCACGACTCCCTGCTCCAAGCCCTGCAGCAGCTGAGACTCTCCATCCAGGACATCACCAGAACCTTGGGACTAATGCATGGTATAGACAAAGGGCCTGGAGGCTGGGCAACAGCCACGAGATGGCGCTAGTGTATTAGCTTTGTTTTATGGTAACCAATTGCTGTTCATAATAGAGAATGACCTCTTGGTCTGCAAAGACATTCTGAGGTTTTGTCCTTTTTTCTAATATTCTCTTGGGATTAAGGTAGTGCCCTCGCTCAGAGGCCATATATTTCTTTGTATGTTGAGGTCTTGCATGAAGTTTGGGAGGAGGGAAGGAAGCAAACAACAACAGGTTGTGTATAGTCCATCCAGCAATGTTAAGCTACTGTGGAGTCTTGTCCTTACACTCTCTAATGCCCTTTTTATTCTTTGTTTCTTGAATGCAACCTGAAATGATCGACCTTGGCTTTAGGCTACCATTCTGTGGCTAGTGCAGAAATGAGTTTTAATAGGTGTAGCCAGTTCAGTGGCTCACCGGTCCTGCTACTGGTTACATTTTATTCAGGTGACTATTTCCATCTCCAATGTTGGGACAACTCTTCAACTTCCTCTATCAGAAGAACTTTAAAAATGTAGTGTGTGTGTGTGTGTGTGTGTGTGTGTGTGTGTGTGTGTGGTTGTTGTTGTTCTTTAAGTGATATTGGTATATAACATTATATATGTTTCAGATGTACATCATAATTTCACATCTGTATACACTACAAAGTGATCTGCACCAAAAGTCTAGTTACCATCCATTTCCATGCAGTTGATTCTTTTCACCCAGATCTCCTAACCCCAACCTCTGTCCTCTCTGTTAACCCCCAATCTGTTCTCTGTATTTGTTTTGTTTTGTTTAGATTCCAGTATGAGTGAAATCATATGGTATTTTTCTTTCTTCATCTGACTTATTTACTTACCGTAAAACCCTCATGGTCTATCCATGTGGTTGCAGTTGGCCAGATTTTATTCTTTTTTATGCTCAGTGGTAACATATATATATCTCACAACTTCTTTATCCATTCATTCATCAGTGGATACTTAGGTTGTTTCCATGTTGTGGCTATTGTAAACAGTGCTGCAATGAACATACCAGTGCATATATTTTTTCAAATAATTAATTTTTCTTCATATTAATAACCAGAAGTGGAATAACTGGATCATATGGTAGTTCTATTTTTAATTTTTTTAGTACTCTCTATACTATTTTCCAGTAGTGTACCAGGATTCCCTTTCTACACATCCTTTCTAACACTATTTATTTCTTATCTTTTTGATGATAGCTATGCTAACAGGTGTGAGGTGATATCTTATCATGGTTTTAATTAGCATTCCTCTAATAATTAGTGATGTTGAACATCTTTTTATGTGCCTGTTGGCCATCTCTGTGTCTTCTTTGTAAAAATGTCTATTCAGATTGTCTGCACTTTTAAAAATGGAATATTTGTGTGTTTTTTGTTGTTGTTGAGTTGTATGAGTTCTTTATATATTTTGGATCTAACTCCTTAACAAGTATAAGATTTGAAAATGTCTTCTCTTATTCAGTAGGTTGCCTTTTTGTTTTGATTCTGGTTTTCTTTGTTGTGCAGAAGCCTTTTAGTTTTATGTAGTGCCATTTGTTTGTTTTTGCTTTTGTCTGCCTTACCTTTGAAGTCAGATCTACTAAAATATTGCTAAGACCTATGTCGGAGCTTATGCCTGTTTTGTTTTCTTGTTTTTTTTCCTATGAACTTTATGGTTTCAGGTCTTGCATACAAGTCTTTAATCCATTTTGAGTTTATTTTTTAGTATGGTGTAAGATAGTGGTCTAGTTTTACTCTTTTTGCATGTGGCTATTCAGTTTTTCCAACACCATTTATTGAAGAGACTGCCTTTTCTCCATTGTATGTTCTTGACTCCTTTGCCATATATTAATTGTTCATATATGTGTGGATGGTTAGGTTTATTTCTGGGCTCTCAGTTCTGTTCTAATGGTCTGTGTATCTGTTTTTATGCCAACACCATATTGTTTTGATTACTATAGATTTGTAGTATAGTTTGAAATCAAGGAGCATGATGTTTCCAATTTTTGTTCTTTTTTTTACAAAGGTTCAAGCTTTCCTTCTTCAGCTTTGCACACAAGGACATGGCCACAGTGTAGGTGTGTAGTGAGTGGGTAGGGCACAATCAACAGTAGGGGTGCTCATGGGCCAGTTTGGGGGGATCTGCAGGCAAGGCATCCCCATCAGCTCATGGGATGGTGTCTTGTTGGAACCTGTGAGACGGTCAGTAGGATCTGCATCCCTTTAATGCCCTCCGAGAGTCCTATCTGGCATTCTCACAGCTGCCCACCCCCACAGTCTTCTCATTCATGCAGCTCGCCTCAGTATTCTGGGAGGGGAGTGGTGAGAAAGAAGTGGGTCGCTGGAAGCATTCCATGCAGCTGGGAAACCAGGCACTCACTCACATGTTCTGGCTTTTCCTTGTGGGACAAATCACAGGCCATTAAGGTCTCTTTTGGTCCTGAGCCGAATCTCCCTGTGGGACGGGTGATGTAGGCAAAGTGAAATGTTCTTCTCACTCTCTTCAGTGCACTCAGTCTGGGATTTTTTTTGCTCTTGCGGTGTGCTTTGGTCTTTGTTGGGCTCCTGGACTTCCATAAAGGCTCCCTTGTCTACGGGTGCCTGTCTAAATCAGCATTCATAGTGGGAGGGAGAGACAGTAGAAAGTCTTACTCCACCATGATAATGATGTCACTCCTGCATCTTTCTGGTTTTCAGTGCATGACCTATCTTCTCTCTCTCTTGCTGTGTGTGTGTGTGTGTGTGTGTGTGTGTGTGTGTATGGGTATATATTTGTGTGTGTGTGTATGGGTATATATTTGTGTGTGTGTATGGGTATATACTTGTGTGTGTGTGTGTGTGTGTGCGCGCGCGCGCACCTGTGCCTGCACTCACTACTCATGTCCCCCCTTTTTTTTTTGTGAAATGTGTCCTTCCTTATACTACTAATGGTCTTTTTATCTTTTACTGTGGATTTATATGAATTATTGTATACTCTTAAAAATAATTTATGTTAGTTATATGCGTTACAAAATGTGATTCATCTTATTGTGTCTTTGGTTTTTGTTTTTGTTTTGTTTTGAACTCATCTTTATTGCTTAATGTATTAAAGATGTTCCTCCCTTTTCCCTATTGACCCCCTTCTCCCCAATCCCACCCCCCTCCTGCCTTCCCCACACTATTGTCAATGTTCATTGGTTATGTATACATGCATAGAAGTTCTTTGGTTTATCTCATCCCCCTTTCCCCCCTTCCTTTTGAGGTTCATCAGTCTACCAACCAATTTGTACTTCTTAATTCCTTCATCTTTTTCACCCATCCCCTAAACCCCCACCCATCTGTCAAGCAACAAAAAATTCTCAGTATCTATGAGTCTATTTCTGTTCTGCTTGCTCATTGTGTTTATAGATTCAATTGTTGATAGATATGTATTAATTGCCATTTTATTGTTTATATTTTTGTTCTTCTTCTCCTTCAAGAAGACCCTTCAACATTTCATATAGTACTGGTTTGGTGGTGATGAACTCCTTTAGCTTTTCTTGTTTGGAAAACTCTTGATATGTCCATCAATTCTAAATGATAGCTTTGCAGGATAGAGTAGTCTTGTTTGTAGGTCATTGCTTTTCATTACCTTGAATATCTCTTGCCACTCCTTTCTGGCCTGCAAAATTTCTTTTGAGAAATCAGCTGACAATCTTATGGGAGCTCCTTTGTAGGTAACAAACTGCTTTTCTCTTGCTGCTTTTAGGATTCTCTCTTTGTATTTAACCTTTGGCATTTTGATGATGATGTGTCTTGGTGTTGTCCTCTTTGGGTTCATCTTGTTTGGGACTCTCTGTGCTTGTTGGACTTGTATGTCTGTTTCCTTCACCAAGTAGGATACTTTTCTGTCATTATTGTTTCAAATAGGTTTTCAATTTCTTGTTTGCTCTCTTCTCCTTCTGGTACCCCTATAATGCAAATGTTGGCACACTTGAAGTTGCCACAGAGGCTCCTTACACTATCCTCATTTTTTTTGGATTCTTTTCTTTTTGCTGTTCTGATTGGATGTTTTCTGCTTCCTTATATTCCAAATCAATGATTTGCTTCTTGACTTTATGCACTTTACTATTGCTTCCCTGGAAAATATTATTTATTTCAGTTAGTGCATCCTTCATTTCTGACTGGTCCTTTTTTATGTTGTGATGGTCTCACTAAGTTCCTTGGAGGTCTCCCTAAGTTCTTAAAGGTCTCACTAAGTTTCTTGAGCAACCTTATAACCTGTGTTTTGAACTCTGCATCTGATTGATTGCTTATCTCCATTTTGTTTAATTCTTTTCCTGGAGTTTTGTTCTTTTCTTTTATTTGGGACATGTTTCTTTGTCTGCTCATTTTGGTTGCTTCTCTATGATTGTTTCTATGTATTAGGTAGAGTTGCTATGTCTCCTAAGCTTCGTAGGATGGCCTATTTTTGCAGGTGTCCTATAGGATTCAGTGCCACAGCCTCCCTAATCACCCCAGCTGGGCCCTCGAGGTGCACCCCTAGTGAGGACTGTACACCCGTCTATGGTAATTGAGTCTTGATTGCTGTTGGCACTCAGGCTGATCAGCTGCAAGGACTGGCTGTGCCCACTGATCACTGGTCTCTGACTACCTTGATCAGCTGTGTAGGGGCCCACCACACAGAGCAAAATTTACTTTAGTAGGGCTCTGGTACCCACTTAGTCCACTCATTGAGTGTGTCACTTATAAAGGTGGTTGGGTGGTGGTGTTTCGATGTGGTCTGAAGCTGTCCACTGGGTGTGCTGGCTCTGGGGCATGGTCAGCCACTGGCTGTGTTCTATCCAGGGCCACCAGGCATAAGCTACAAAGTGATCTGCAGATGGCTACTTCTTGTGTTGGGCTTGGAGGTGCCCAGGAAAAGCCAAGCTGTGAACCAAGGCTGGCTGCTTCTAGTGTCAGGCCTGGGGCCACTTAACAAGAAGTATGGGGCTCGCTGAGACCAGATGCTGCTTGAGAGATTTTAGGAAACTCTGAAGCAGGATCCAAGACAGACCAATCCTATGGTAAAGCCTTTGGAGACAGCTTGGGTGGGCCTGAAAGTTGGGTGGGGCAGGGCCTCAGGAAATCACCAGGGTGGGGCAAACAGTGTGAGCCAGGTTGCTGGAGTCTCAGATATGGTGGCTGTCTGCCGGCCCAGGGAAGGGCTCATCAAAGGCACAGCAGCCTAAGCCAGCGCATCTGTTCAGGAGAAAGCCACCTCACCAGCCCTTGTCTCAAGGCCAAACAGTTCAGTTATTCCCTGTATGTCTCTGGTGCCCCTCAAGCTACCTCCCCTCCATGCTCAGAGGGAGCAAGTCTGAGTAAGTCTGAGCATGGGACCTTGAAGAGTTGCTGCCTAGAGCTCAGTTCAGCTGTTTTTTACAGCCAGAAGTTATGTGTCTTCTCTTCCTGGCACTGCAACTCTGAGCTGGGCACCTGGTGTGTGATGAGGACCCCTCACTCCTCAGGGAGGACCTTTACAGCTGAGGTATCCCACCTGAGTTTTATCCACCACACGTGGGTGTGGGAGCAGCCTGTCCATGCCTCCACCCCTCCTACCAGTCTTGATGTGGCTGCTTCTTTAATTTTGTAGTTGTAGGACTTCTATTCAGCTCAATTTCAGGCAGTTCTGAATGATGGTTCTGCTGTAGTTTAGTTGTAATTTTGATGTGGTTGTGGGAGGAGGTGAAACCATGTTTACCTACATTGCCATCTTGACTGGAAGTCTTACTTGTGCCTTTTGAAAGCAGAAATTCTTACTCTAAATATAATCAAAGTAACTGACATTTCTTTAATAAAAGTCTATGTTTTATAGGAGGTCTTGCATAAGATATTTCAAAACCATAAGTCAAATACATTTTCCTGCATTTTCTTCTAAAATTGTTTTGTCTTTCTCATTTTAGTCCTTCATTTACATTTAATTATTATCTATATGTAGTCTAACATAGGGAATAAATTTAAATTCCCTTCTGTGAATTATCACCTATTTGCAATATTAACTATTTCTTATATCAGATTTTCTTAAATGACTAGATCTGTTTTCAGCCTCTCTATTCTGTTTCATTTTTTGTTTATCTTTCCCTACACCAATATCATTTGTCTTAAGAACTAGAGCATCATAGGGTTTCTCATGTTCAGGTAGAGAAAACCCTCTAACCTTGCTCTTCTTGTCTTATTTTTGAGCATTTGCCTTTCTTATAAACTGTTACCATCAGCTTGTAAATTTTATTTAAAAATCTTTGTTAAGAATATTGCTCAAAGTGCATTAAATCTGTATATTAATTTGAAAAAATGCATGGTTTAGATATCATATTCAGTCTTTCTGTCTTATGACAAAAGCAGGTAGAGAGGTAGAGACAGCATAAAAGTATTAACTAAGGTTCCTAGACAAGCTGTCCCAAGTCATGTCTTCATATTAGTATAGACTCTTCTTTTGTCATGTAACCTAAAGTTTATTCAGAGGTTCATTTCTTCTCTTAAGGCATTGATACTGAGTTTTCTTGACTTTCTTAAAATAGACAAACTTCAATTTGTTAAATTTTCTTTAATTTTTTTCAAGATAAAATAGTTAAATATCTTCTTTTCCTTTCTAGTTACATTATAATTTTATTTTAAGTGAATGCAGTATCTTTTATTTAACTAACTCCTGACTGTTGCTGGTTTATAGAATAAAATTGATATTTGAATATTAACCTTGAATATAGTACCTTGATAAACACTCTTATTTATTCTAATAATTATGTGAAGATTACTGGAGTTTTCTATATAAAAATCATATCATTTGAGAATAATCTTCTTTTGTTTCTTCTTTTACAATACATACAGCTTTTATTTCTGCTTAATTTTTGTTCTCATTCTTTATGCTAGAACTCCCAACACAGTATTGAAAGTGCTAATCCTTGTTCTGTTCCACATTTTAAAAGACTTATTTGTAATATTTTAATAATAAGTATAATGTGTACTATAGGCTTTCTAGGAATTCCTTTTCATCAGTTCAAGGATGAGTTCTCCTGTTCCTAATGAACTAAAATGTGTTATTTATTTATTTATTTATTTATTTATTTATTTATTTAATCATGGATGGATTTGCCAAAGGAAGACAATCATTACCTGAGTCATAGGGGCTGCTGAGAAAATAAGAGATGGGGGAACAGAGCGTAGGTGTGACGGTAGAAAAGGAAAATTGATGGTATAGAAATGTTACTATTTATGTGTCATAAAAAATTTTTTTTTTTCCTCAGGAATAAAAAGGAATAGGAATATGGATAAAAGAAACATGCTTAGTCACCAAGGGGCTTCGTTATATGAAGAGAGAGAACAACCTTCAAAAGTTGATGAAAAGAAACTTAGTGTACAAATATGAAAACCTGCTTCCTTATATACAGTTTTATTAACTAGTGAAATCAATTCTCCTCAAGCATCCACTTAGATTCAAAATAGCTACACAGTTAATAAATGCGAGCTCAACGTGGAGTTAAATGAATCTGTACTTGACCTGGAGTGGTGACCCCTGGGCAAGGGGCTTCCCCCTGCTCTGTCCTTTGCTGACTATTCAGAACCAGCTTGAGCATAGATGGCTTCAGTTCTCCTCTCTCGTGAAAGCCTTGCGAGAGCTGATTCTCTCTGCGTTCTCCTTAACATTATTAACTTTTTAAAAATGGCCTTGATCTCTCTTTTTGTTGTTGTTAAGTACAGAAGAGGAAGTACCAAATACCACAAATAGAAAAGGGCAGCATTTGGAATAGTTTAAAAGTTCTGTGCGCGCCCATGAGGACAACTACAGAATGAGAACATTCCATCCACCTCTTGCGTGTGGCTTTCATTCCAGGTTTCCATGCAGATCAGATAGAGAGGCAGCCCCCGGAGCACAGCAGGGCCCACGCACATGTAACCAATTGCTTTTTTTGCCTGTAGTGAAGTTCACATTCTGATTGCTCCTCCAGATTATGTAGATCCAGACATATTTTATGCAGTCATCCGGATCTTTCTCTCTGGGTAAGTATTGTTCAACTGTTTTCCTGTATGAGGTCTCTATAGCATTTTCCAAATTTATGGGGATGGAAACTGACATAAGCTTCCTAGAGTGAGAAACACACACCAAGTAACCCTTGTTAGCAAAGTAATCACCTGGATCCACTCTTGGATAAACAAAGAGGGGTACCATCTGCATGGCAAATGCCTTTAAAGGTTGCACATTTGTGTCTAGAGTAATTGTCCTTAGGCTGTCCTAGTCGATTAATTTGTATTTACCTTTCTTAGAACCACACATTGACGGAAAAGGGAAAAAAGCCCAGTGTGCCATCCACAAAGCTCAATCATTTACATTTACCCTCTCCCCTTGCTATTGAAACAGATGGAGGTATAGACAGTAGCCTGGAAGCGCTCTTATAACATACCTAGAACAGCTGGCTACCTCAAGCCATTTTCTCATATACCTGAGTCCTCTCTTTTTGTCACATGACCTGTACTTTCTCCAAAAACAGAATTCTAGTCTTAGATACATTTCTTATTTTAAATGTACTAGTCATACATTGACACGTTTTTAATGAGATTGGTTTCCTAGAGATTGGTTTCCTATTCACTTTAAGAAAATGCATTTGTTTGTTTGCTTGCTTGAACAGTGAAAAGTGAAAGGTGGCAGCAGTGGATTGATGAGGTAAAAACCGTGAAATCGATGTCATCTAGTGTTCCATGTGTATGTAGAAATAGAAGTGCTATTGATAGAAAGAATCCGAAGCTGCACCTGGATGTAAGAAGAAACATGTCAGATACCAAAATCAATAAATTTACTGATTTAGTGGTATAATCCATTGGTGCAAGAATAGTGACAACAAGTACTAAGTATTTCCTATAGATTAAGTCTAGAGTATGAGAAAGTGACCCCCCCCCCCCAGAGGCCGGCGTGGGTGGGGATCATATGTTATAGGGTGCAGAGAGTAAAAGCAAGAAGGTTTCTGCAGAATAACTTGAGAGTAATAAGTGTCTAGTTTGTGGGAAAAATAGGTGAATGACAGTGTAGAATTGGGAGTGTGTCTCAGAATTCAGACCTTCATTCCTGAAATGCCCCCCAAAGAAATATCATATAGACCTCTTCTTGTTCTCTCTCTGTTTTTCATGTAGTCAGGGTCAAAACAAGATCTGATTGTAGAAAAAAGATTCTAGCAACAAATAGTAAGCAAAACATGTAAATGCACTTTTGTAGGATTAGACAAAAGAAAAGCGGGTCATTTGAAAAATGTTTTAAAATAGACTGGGATTTAGGAAGCATCTAATTCTGAAAAATCTCTTTGTACTTTAACTTAGTTTTCTTTGTTACATAACAAATGACCACAAATGTAGCAGATAAAAGCTACACACATTAATGATTTCACATTTCTGTAGCTCAGAAGTCAGGGTGAGCTCATCTTGGTTCTCTGCTTAGGGTCTTAAAAGGCTAAGGCAGGGTATCTGCTGGGCTGAGCTCTTAACCCCAGATTCTGGGGAAGAATTCACTCACTCAGGTTTTGGGGAGAATCTAATTTTCTGTGGATTTGAAACTGAGGTCTTTGTTTCCTTGTGGATTGTCAGACAGGATCTGCTTTCAGTCTCCAGAGGTCTCCAGAATTCTTCATCACATGGTCTCTTCCAACTCAGCAGTGACTCTTCCTATCCTTCTAGTCTTTCAGACCTCTCTGACTTCTCCTTCTGCCACTAGCCAGAGAAAATGCTCTGCTTTTAAGGTCTTATTGATTAGATTCTGCTCACTTAGATAATCTAGAATGACTCCCTGTATTAAGGTCAACTGATAAGTAACCTTAATTACATGTGCAAAGTCACTTTGTCTTGTAATATTATTATATCGATAGGCATGATAGCTCATAATATTAACAGTTCAAGGAATTAGAATGGGAATCAGGGGGCAACATTGTTGGGATTCTGCCTATTATGTTTAAATGAGCACCAGAAGGTGACTTTGTTTCATTAAAATAAATTCCAGGTCAATAACACATTTTATCTGTGATCTACATAAATGTCTCCCCTCTGCTTCTGATCCTCAATAATATTTCCCATGTAGCTAAACAAGTGACCAATACCAAATCCTAAGTGTATTGATGAGAGCAGATGACCTAAAACATCTGGATTGCTGACATTTCCCAAATAGGGTTGTTGTGAAAAACCTAAAAATTTAAATCTGCTCCTGTATTCTTGATTTTTGTCCTTTGTTTGATTTATTATTTTTGTTTACTTTTTAAAACATTTTTTATTGAGGAGAGTTGAAAGATTTCATCTGCAGATGAATCACATTCCCTTTATTTCCCACTCAAATTAAATTTCTCAGGGAAGTTAATAGCCCCTGTGGAAAAATAATGTCATCTCCTTCCTTTCTTTTTTTTTTTTTCTTTTAAATGTCTGCTTTTATTAAGTTCCCTAAAAATATGCCACAAGAAAGGCTAAAAATAATCTTGCCTACAGAGATTTGAAAGAAAAATAATTCCTTTCCTTCACAAACAGCAGATTGGGCCTGAGAATGCATGGGAGCAGTCCGCAAGTCCTTTCCAGAAACTCAATTTCCCTGCCTCAGACTACTGTCATCATAGAGAGAGAACATATGGGATTTAAAAGAAGATGCCCTCCTCTTACCTTTTTGACTTTCACTCTGTTATTTTCTCTATTACCTCTTATGTGGCTTCAACATATCTTCTTCAGGTTGGGGCACGAAAAGGAGACTGATTGATGTCTTGGCCATTTGAGCATTCGAAGGCTCTTTTAGGCTGGCCGGGTCTTTTTAGGAAATACACTTGGGTCTATATATTCTAGATATAGAATACAGGATTATCAAATGCTATATTTTTTATTTATTCATTCATCAGATATTTAATGAGTGCTTCCCATAGGCCAGGCACAGTTCTGGGTGCTGGAAACGAAGCAGTATAACGAAACAGCAACTTCATTTCTGTGGAGCTTACATACATTTTAATGATGGATGGCAGATGAAGAAATGAGTATAATAGCAAATATCATACAGGATATGTTACAACAATAGGCAATGTGAGGAAATATGATGTAAGATACAGGGCATCATAGGGGGGGGGGGTGGCCGAAGTTCCTTATTTATTTATTGCAATCTGGGGATGCCACACTTCTAAGTGGTGCTTAAGCAGACATCTGAAGGAAGTAAGGAGTAAGCCGCCTAGACAGGAGATTGGATCACGGAGGGGCCCGTTGGCTTCTTTTCTGAGTGAGATAGGCAACACTGGCAAGTTTCAGAGGAAGGGCATGATCTGTCTTCAGTTTCAAATCACCACTCTATCTTCTAAGTGGAAAATAGACTATTTCAGAGCAAGAATGGAAGCCAGGAAGGTATTTAAGATGCTTTTACTATAATTCAGGGTGGTAGCTTCAACTAGAGTGAGTTCTGGATACAGATTGAAGGTCAAGTTGACAGGATCTACTACTGGAGTGCACATGGAATGGAGGAGAAAGGGATCTAACACAGAAAATTCTAAAGTTTTTGGCCCAAATCTGCCGAAAAGATGTAACAAGTTTGGCAAAAGGGTGGGGGAATCAGGAGGTCAGTTTGGGACATGTTCATTCCTGTGGACATGTCTAGTAGGCAGTCAGTCATATATGTGAGTCTGGAATACAGGGGAGAGGGCAAGGTGTTGGTACACATTTCTAAATAGTTAGAATAGGTTTTCAAATCTGTGAGGCAACATAAGATTACTTGGGAAGTGAGAGTAAGGAGAAGTCCAAAGACTGAGCCCTGAGAGAGTCCACCACTTGGAAGTGGCATGATGGGAAAAACTCGTGAAGGAGACCAAAATAACTAGGGAATATCATTGAAGGGATTACAAAGAAAATCTGAACAACTATGATCATTGTGTTCGGTCCACCTACACATAGTAGCCGTCGTATCTTCAATACCTCTTTCCCACAAAATGTCGTGTAGAAATTTTATCAGACCAGTGTTCTGAACGCTGACAAGTCATGAAAGCTCTCTGAAACCCATTCAGTTCTGCCAACAGCTTCAGTAAGTATGCAGAAATTAGGGAAACTAAGACTCAGAAATGTTTGTACAAAGTTATAAAATAATGAAAGGGAGAGCAGGGATTCCAACTCATGCTGAATAAGATCAGAAATGGCTGATACTTATCAAATGCTTAATAATATGTTCCAGGCACTGAGCAACTATTATTTTAATGAGTTCTCACAACAACCCAATAAGGCAGGTACTTCTATTGCTTGGATGAGGAAGTTGAGGCTCAGAGAAGATTTACCTGAGCCAAGGCTCACAGTTAACAAACATCACGGCTGAGATTAAATTCCATATCTGCCTAAAACAGAGTCCTCTTTCCTAACAGCTACAGCATGTCATGATCTTACAACCAGAATCCTTCCTTTCCTCTTCCTGCTGGTCCTTCTGACTGCTTTGTGTGTCTCGTTTCTTTCTAGAGTGATACTGTCCCACCTGCAGTGGCCACTCTGATATTCATCCAGTGAAAACCATAGAATGGCCAACCAAAACAGCCCCAAAAGAAAACAACCCACCTTCTTGTAGCATTTCCTGCCTCAGAGAAATATGTGGGAAAGGTCAGGGACAGCCAGCTGAGTGGTTGGTCGATGGCTTTTGCATGTGTGCGATGTGTGTTGTCCTTCCTTCTCCGGAAGAAGTGGCTTTTAGAATTATGGGAAGAAGGTGAGACATCACATACGCCTGTCATTTAAACTATTAACAACTGGGTCAGTAGTTTGTTCCTGGTGATAAGAGAAGATGATTCTGTTCCTTATAAAAAGTGGAAATTCACAGATGTGGGTCTTAAAAATGGGAAAATCAAAAATTACAAGTTTGGGGTTTAAGTTCTGGTTCTCCCGTTCCCTAGCAATGTAATGTGGCCCTGGAGAATGACTGCTTTGAGTTTTTGTTTCTCTATGTGTAAAATGGGCTTTAAGAGACCTGCCTTGATCTACTCAAAAGAGATCAAACAAGAACATGGATGTATAGGTGCTTTATAAACTGTGAAGCACTGAGAGAACAAATATATGTGTTCTTGGTGCTATTGTTTTGGTCCCATGGAGCCCCCCACATGCACTCTGTGATTGTTTAAGACTCTGTAGAAAATGAGACAGGGAAATGAGTACAACAGTTGGAGGTACACAGAGGGGATTTCAGAGACAAAAAAAAATGAAGAAATGGAATCAGGGAGGCTGAAGAGAGAAAAGGAGAGAAGAGAGAGGAGAGGGGAGAACAACTCAGTCTGAGCATGACTAAGAGCCTCTCTTCCAGTCCTTCCACATGTCCTTGAACTTAGCCTCTGGCAACATGCAGGCTTGTATTGTGCTCCTTTTGTCACTACCCTTACTGTCAGTACCCATTATCAACAAGGTATTTGATAAAGATATTCCCATAAAATCAGGTAATGCTTAGAACTGATAGTTTAATGTTACAACCGTTACAACTGTTTCAGGGAAGAGCAAAGGGGTGTGTGTGTGTGTGTGTGTTTTCAAATCTCAACTTGTGGAATATTAGGGCATCAAGGCTATTTTATCAGAAGTAGGGAAGATTGTTCCAGAATCCCTAGTTTGCTCTTGTTAATTAGCACTGATGTCATCTCGATGACTGGCTTTTTCTAAGTAATAGGACATGGAACAAATGCCAGGGACTCTTTTCTACATATTCTTTACTTTTCTGTAAAAGTCCTTTAAATGAGGAAGGGCGTGGGGAGCTGCAATCTATGTCCTGTTGTGAAATTGGGGTCAAGATGACGCTTAAGTACACATCCTACAAAGATACCCAGTCTTTTGCCCTAAAAGTGCCATCGAAATGATGTTCTCTTTATTTGCTCACTCTTTGGTTCTATATCAGAAAATATATTCTTAAGTCCACGCACCCACTTCTCTCTGACTTTTACTCTTGCTTAGATGGAAAGATAACCCAGCATTGCCGGTGGGGTTGATATACGAAGGAGTCTCCACAGAGCCCCTGAAATACTCGGGAGGGAGTGCAGCTCAGAGCACAGTGCTTCACGCCTTTGATGAGTTCTTGGGCATCCGTCATAGCAAGGAGAGTGGTAAGTCAGACATTTTTCTTAACAGGCAAAAAGAACACAGGTGTTTTTACAGATTGATAAAGCCAAGTGTAACTCAAAATGTCACGAAGTCTATTCTTTTCCAAATTAACCAGGAAACTGTGCGCCTGCTCTATGTTATTGTGTCAAGTCAATTAGTATCAGATCTCAACAGGAAATTGGGTTTCATTTTCAAATCTTAAAACATTGCTATATTTCCAGCTGTTCACTGCAATTTTGTTTGGATCTTCAGGCAATGGTTTTCTTTCTCTAAAGTGAGGGAGAATTCTGGAGTTTGACGGGTATGAAATTTTTTTGGTCAGTCTTCACATTGCTGATGATGGGCCTATCTTCCTTCACTATAGCCCTTCAGCATAAATACGGTGCAACCTCAAGCCAGTTCTATTTAGACCCAAAGAGAGGAAGGGCCAACCATTTTAGAAGCTTGAAATTGCTCATTTCCTTACCTGCCAGGCTTGAAATGTTCAACGGCTGCCAAAAGCACTTCATAGTACAGAGTTTTCAGGTTGAATTAGAAAAAAAAGACGAGAACTTGGTGTCACAGAGTACAGTCTCATCTGCAGAAGCCAGTTCTCTAGAATCGTTATCACATTGCATGGATTTTGACTTGGGAATGTTAGTAGTTGGCTTACCATGCATAATATTAAGCATGTAATGGGTTTCCTATAAATGATCTAGCTACACTTCCTATAAATATCTATTGATTAGACTTTTAGACAACAAGAGGCTATTATGAAAAGAGTTGCTCATTCGCCTGGCCAGTTTGGCTCACTGGTTGAGTGTCAACCCATGTACCAAGAGGTCACTGGTTTGATTCCTGGTCAGGATACATGTCCAGGGTGTGTGTGGGCCCAATCCCCAATGGAGGGCATGCAGGAGGCAGCCAATCAATGTTCCCTCTCATCAATGTTTCTATCTCTCTCTCCTTCTTGCTTCCCCTTTCTCTAAAATCAATAAAGAAAAATATTTTACAAAATAAAAATAAAAGAGTCGCTCATTCTTTATCTTCCTACTCTTATAGACTCTGTTACTTTCTTCTTCCTTAGCACTCCCTCCAAAACAAAGCATTTATGAAACAAAATTCAGCAGAGTATCTGGGTACTTAATTTTAGAATTTATGGCTTACATTTGTAAGTGTCCTCTAATAGTGACTAGCAAGATACTTTGCCCACATTTACTATATGATAAACATTTATACACTGGCTGATAGAGCTAGTTCAATGCAGTTATCTGGGATGTGCTGACTTCTTCCCCCTCCCCATCTCCTACCAATAGTCAGGGGTGTGCATCTGAATGTTTGAATCTTACTAGCAAAAGAGCCAGCCAAGTCGATTGGAAGTTAGAATGACAGCAACAGTGCTGCATTGATGTTTGGAGAAGTAGGTGGGCTCTCTTGTCTTTCTGGGTGGAGCTATGACATTGCTCTGGATTGTTTCTTTCAGGTGACTTTCTGCTCAAAATGAGGGACTACATGCCTCCTTCTCATAAGGCCTTCATAGAAGAAATCCAGTCAGCTCCTTCACTGCGGCATCATGTCCTGTCCTCTGGAAATGGCCAGCTTCTGAGCGCATATAACCAATGTGTGGAGGCCCTGGCAGGGCTGCGCAGCTATCATATAACCATGGTGACCAAATACCTCATCACAGCTGCAGCCAAAGCAAAGGGCAGGAAGACAAGCCATCTCCCAGAGCCACCTCAGGCCTTAGAAGATAGGGGCACGGGAGGAACCCCAGTGCTGAGCTTCCTGAAGAGTGTCAGGAATAAGACCTTAGAGGCCATCCTCCCACAAAGTGCTTGAGAAAGTCCTTCTCCCCAGCAATGCAAAAGCAGCGAATGCCCCGTTGGAGAGCAGGTGGGCCTGGAGAATGAAGGTCAGGGTTCTGTCTGGAAAACCCCGAAATCAACCTCAGCCTCATTCATGTTCCAGCTCTATAGAACATCATCTTCTCCTTTGTTGAAACCTTTCTCTACCTGATCACTGGTTAATAACCAACAACTGTGGACGCTGCCTCTTTCAGGATCCCACAGAGGAGCAAGGGTAAACCCTATTCTGTTTGCAAAGTGGTGGAAAACCAATCAAATGTTTAGAAAACCAAAAAAATTTCCTGTGGACAGAAATATTCGTGCCTTCATTAATTCACTTAACAATGTATTAAGTTCCTACTGAGTGCAGCATAGGCATTAGAACAAGGGTTTCTGTGGCCCGGCCTGGCCCTCGTCCCCCTGTATGTGTTGGTTTGGGGGGATGAGGAGGAATGAGGAAGCTAACAAGACTCGGAAGTCACCAGTAGGAAAATGAATAATGACACGGGAGTGATGAGAATCTTCCATATGGTTCATAATTGTGCAGATTCTATTTTAGCTTCCTTCTTTATTTTTTGAAGAATGATCCTTTCTCCTTACACTGAAAGATTGTATTTGTAAAATGAATTAATTAACCCTTTAGAAGTAAATGAGCAATGTGGGAATAAATAGTAAATCCATATGTTTACAAGATCTCATTCTACCTGACAGTACAAAGCTAGAAAACTTGAATCTTGCCTATTTAGGATAAACTCCACTAATTTAGACATGCTCCCCACTCTGAACATACATGTATATCTGGGATAGTATGTGAATTCCACAGCATTAGATCTAGTGTTGTGGCCTCAGGGAGAGGTACCTGATCGTGGGGGCAGCTTCTGTCCAAACCAGTGTCTGCTGAGCCGTCCCCTTCTCCATAGAGGGACGGGTCAGATGGAGCTCACCACCTGTCTTAGCCTGTCTGAAAGAACTTTCCGATTTCTCAGCCTCAAGTCCTTTTGTGCCACTTAGAAAACAATTTGACTACTTTCCACATCTCCCAGCAGTATTGGAAGACAACAGGATTGGCTCCATATCTGCCCAGCACTCCTCTAGAGCAGCAGTTCTCAACCTGGGGGTCGCGACCCCTTTGGGGGTCCAATGACCCTTTCACAGGGGTCGCCTAAGACCATCAGAAAACACATATTTCCAATGGCGATTCATAACAGTAGCAAAATTACAGTGATGAAGTAGCAACAAAACTAATTTTATGGCTGAGGGTCACCACAACATGAGGAACTGTATTAAAGGGTCGTGGCATCAGGAAGGTTGAGAACCACTGCTCTAGAGTCATGGTGGTGAAGGGGGTGAAGGAGGGGACTTCTGGACTCTTGTCAACTCTCAGGGCCCTTGGTAAGAAGTCATGAACCAATATCTTCCACTTGGGGTTCTAGGAGAGCTCCTATTGTCCCATATGCTTTGAGGGCTTGGTCTGGCAAAAGTTAAGAGGGAGGTAGGGCATGACAGGTGCCAGGCCTTCTAGTCGGAATGGGCCAAGGAAAAACCCTGAGTCTGAGAGTGTCCTCTGTGTAGTGTTTAGGTCAGGATCTGAGCTTAAAGACCTAGCCCCTCATAGCTCAGAAAGCCTTCTGTCCACATGCTCTCTGTCTTGTGTTTGAAAAGCCTGCTATGAAACTCAAAATGAGCATGGATATCCTTACTTCTCTTTGGTTGGCTTTTCTAACTGCCCTGCCTTGATACCAAGGCTCTCTTAACTACCTGGGCAGGGTGGATGCCATGGTCCAAGGAGGAAGACCAAGTGCACTAGGTGGGAGGAGAGAATAAAGGCACACTGGTTGATGATTCAAAGCATTGTCCCTTCTCGATATCATTCTCAGATGAAAAGAATGTGGCATTTAAAATAGGACTTGTGTTTGAATTCTGATGTCTCCATTTAAAAAAAAAAAAAAAAGTGGCTTTTGATCAACTTCAGAAAAATCATGAATCCTCAGCTTTTTATTATAAAATTGAGGTGATCAGATTGGTCTCCGGGTGGATATTAGTAACAGCAGGGATAGTCCTTGGCAAGGAGGAAAAAGCCAATAAAAATTTATTTGGCTGTGAGGTGCGGCCCAGGGCATGAAGAGAGCACACTGTATTCCTCATGCTGCTTGGACTCACAGTCTGCAGAGTAACAAAACAACCATTTAGTATTTATCATTTGGGGAGTTTGGAAAGTAGAAAATGATGTAAGTGGGGGCTTCAAGAGCTGCAGAACCTGAGTTTGTATTCCAGCTTTGTCACATTATATAATGACAGACTGATTAATCTTTCAGGGCTGCCGTTTACTCACTTGTAAAAGAAGGAACATTGTAATTACTGTGCGGGGCAATAGAATTATATTTTTGATTATAAAAATGGTATTTTAATTTCTTAAATCTCAGCATTAAGGATGAAATCTACCTTCTTTAAAGACATCACTTTTGTATTAAAAATAATAAAACATCAGTAGAAAGAGCAGACACCTAGCTCTTCACAGTGAATTTGTTTGTACACAAAAATCAAACAAAAAAATCAAAACCTCATTTCTCTCAACCTGTGAACAAAAAGTCACTTTGGTAAATTATTCTTCCCGAAGCACACCAATAAATATTTATATTAAAACCCACAAACATAGCTATTTTCATCTAATCAGATACAACAGAAGAAAAATTCATTTACATAAATCATTGTACATAAGAAGTGTGTGATTTACTGTGCATATTCCAATCCCAACTTGGCCCTTCTTCAGATTTTAAGAAACCGTACTGTGAAGAACTATTTGGCCAGCTGCACAGCACAGGTGTATTACTGAGGTTGGTTACAGGCCCTTTATGTCACAGCAGCTGGTCACAGGTTCACAGAACCCGCAGAGCCAGGGACAGTGTCCCCACCTGCACACACTGAACACCCGTCCCTGTGCTCAGGACAAGCCTCGCTGAGGACACTAGCAAGAAGCAGGATGAAAGCATGTCTACACCTGTGGCAAGTTTCTTAGGGACAAGCAGGGACAGTCTGTGTACTGAACTGTTCACCTGAGGACATGAGAGTTCTTAACTCTGCTGTTTCACTAAAATTATAAACCTTCCCTCCATGTGAAACAAAATCTCCACCATTTCATAGTTCTACCTCTTAAAACATGGCAAGGCTCAGTCAAGTCAGCTTCTTGTTCTAGAAGGATGAATGGACTGATGGTTGACAGATGATAGAGATATAGATAGGTGATTGATTGATGGTTTATAGACAGATTCTCAACAGACAACAGAGATGTAGACTCATGTGAGAGAGAGAGAGAGAGAGAGAGAGAGAGACAGAGACAGAGACAGAGAGAGACAGAGAGAGACAGAGAGAGAAAGAGAGCACATGACCTTAAAACAAGCAAGCAAAGCAAGATATAACACAGAATATCCTTGAAATAATGTAGGCACATGTGGACTCAAGGCTTTAAATCTTGATCTGTACCATACGGGGCCCTGATTTGTCCCTCAGCAGACAGGATTGCAAAGAATCACTTTATCTGGGATCCTTTCAGCAGCTGCAAGCCAACCCAGAGACCACAGAGCCTAATTCAGAACAGATTTTCCATAGATGCTGACTGAATAGAAAACCAGATCGAATAACTGGGGTGGAAGAAGACATTTACAAAGTCCAGTCTTTCAAAACTTCCATATATATATATTTTTTGTTTGTTGTCATTGCACAAGGATGATACAAATGCAAACAACTGTACCTAATTTCCCAATGAATTACCTTTTAATTCACTTGTCAAGGTTTGATTTCATGGGCCAAGGAGTTCCATTCTTGGTTTTATGGTACAGTGGTACAAATAAAGACACCGGTACAGAAGAGAACACACCTTCCTCAAGATTTAGAGCTCTAAAAGGCATCCAGACCAGTAAAAAAAGAGAACTGTTTAATGGTAGAAATCATTTTATTAGTATTGTTATGGGAGGGTGCTGCTGCATGTTTGAAGGAATGGCAAAAGAGCAGGCTTAACACTAGGCAAATGCAGGTTTGAATCCTCACTCTGCCGCTTTACCCACCTTGCTTAACGTTGCAGAGTCGTCGTAGTCACATGGGCAAATGAGGACAACAATGGCTACCTTGTAGTGCTTTTGCAACAAGTAAAGCTAATATAGGTCTGTCCGCTAGCAGAGCCCGAGTAATGGTATTACTATGACGATGTTGTGTGTTCCCAGACGGCCCCCTTGATCTGGACAAGAACACAACCATCGGCAAATGAAACAGGAAGGGGAGTGGAAAGCTCGTTCTCTTCCACTTGGTACGTTCCAAGGAGAATGGAGAGGAGACCCAACAGACATGTAACCAAGAAGTCTGCAGAAACCATCTTCTCGGAACACATGTGGAATAGTGCATGCATGTATATGTGTGCAAGATGCAAAATTATGACTGCCAAGAGGCTGCCAAGCCACTGAGAGTCAGACCCCAGGACAGGTCCACTGTGCTCGAAGAGATGTCATGTCTTTTCATAATGATAATAACCAAGAAGGATGCTGTGACAGGATTATATCTTAAGTGTATCTGGATATAATCAAAACCAATTGTAGTGTGTAACACATAGTGGTTTCACAATAATTGTAGAATAAATCAACACCCGGATTGAGTGGAACAGTGGGGACACCTACAAATTCTTGCCTTCAGAAAAGAGCTGCTTCCAGGATCCTCAGCCTGACTGCCAGGGACCACGTAGAGGTGGAGGTAAATTCATGTTTTCTTCCCAGTTTAGGGAGGTTACATCTTCAGTGATTGTACAGGGCCACTCCTACAAAAAGGTAGAGCACCATTTAAATGTTCAATCTGAAGGTTCACCAAATTCATGCTGACCCATGGATTTCTTGTCAATGCTATATAATCAGTAGAGGTTTCTTACTTAGAGACTTGTATTAGTTCAGGTTTTCCAAAGAAACAGAATCAATAGGGTATGTGTGTGTGTGTATTGAAGATGATGGAGGAAGAGAGAGAAAAGATATATTATTTTAAGGAATTGGCTTATGTGATTATGGAGACTGGCAATTCTGATATCTGTAGGGTAGACCAGCAGGCTGGAGACCCAGGGAGGAGCCAATGCTGTGGTCCAAGTCCAAAGGCAGGCTCTTGGCAAAATTGCTTCTTGCCCAGGGGAATTCAGTCTTTGTTCTAACAAGCCCTTGACTGACTGGATGAGGCCCACCTGCATTATGAAAAACAATCTACTCAACGTACAACAATTTAAATGTTCATCTCATTTAAAAGCAAACAAACCCTCACAGAAACATCCAGAATAATATTTGACAAACTATCAGGGCATCGTGGCCCAGCCAAGGTGACATACAACATTAGCTATCACAAGTCTCCTTGAGAAGGGCCTGAATTAGAGTAAGTTATGGTATCCAACACACACTTTCTACCAGAGAAGGAGAATCTTCCTTTGCAATGATGGAGAAGAGGCAAAAAACGTGCAGAGGGAAGCTATTACCTATAAGCTGCCTGGACGGGGTGCAGCAGACGGCTACACAGAAGCTACCAGAGAGAAGTGAGAATACCGCAGAGAAATCTGACTTAGTTTATAACTCATAAGTGGAGTCTAAAGCAAGCAAACAAAACAGAAATAGACTTATCGATACAGAGAACAGACTGTGGTTGCCAGAGGCAAGGGGGGCTGGGAGACTGAGAGGGGAAAAATGAAAAGATTGAGAAGTACAAATTGGTAGTTACAAAGTAGTCACGGGGATGTAAAGTACAGCACAGGAAGTAGAGTCAATAATAGTGTAATAACTGTGTATGGTGCCAGGCGGGCACTTGAGATATCCGGGGGAGCATTTTGTAAACTATATGATTGTTTAAACACGATGCTGCATACCTGAAACTAATACAAAATAATATCAAATGTAGATTGTGACAGAAAATTTTTGTTTTAATTTTTAAAGCTTTGCATTGGGTGATCTATGTGGAATGAAATAATTGTCCCTCTTAATAAAAATAACAACCCATTCCTCTGAGGTTGAGAATATAGGGAAAATGTTCGCCTGGGAAAGGGGGTAGGGTCTTGAAGTCTGAAGCCTTGTGCACAAGATTGACCTTCTCGGTGGCTCCCCACTGCTACCACTGCTGGTGACAAAGCAGCGCCAGTCCCTTTTCATCCTGTGCCCAGGTCCAGTCCAGCTAGAAT